TCTCCTCCCACTTTGCTCCCCTATACCCTCCTCCCACATGGGCAAAATGAGCTTCTTTCCTTCTCCCTCTCTCTCTTCCACCAGACAGATTTCAATCTTTTCCTCCTTCCCCTTTGATTCCCTTCCTCTCTCTTCCTCTACATCCAACTCCTCGCTTTACATTATCTTCCCGGCTTCTATAGCTCTCTTCTGCTCAGGCGTCTCTAGTTGAGTGGACAGCTCACTCTGTTCTTTTTTGTTCTACTGTCTCTCTCTCTCTCTCTCTCTCTCTGCGTGTGTGTGTGTGTGTGTGTGTGTGTGTGTGTGTACCCATGCACCTCCCCACCCCACTGTGTCTTCCTTCTTTGTTTCTCATGTGGCATAGGGAAGGGAGAGCAGAAGTCAGAGCTATAGCATCTTCCTCCTTCTGTAGTGCACATGACACTTCCCTTCCCACCTGTAATGGCAGGAGAGGTTGGGCTGCCACTGAGTTGATTTGAGCGTGTGTTTTGTGCTGCTTGTACTGACATCAGTATTGGCAGTTACAGCTGTACCCATTCAGTTATTATTCAGATTTATACTCTGCACTTCATTTACCAAGCTAGCTTGCAATAGACTGTTTTTAAAACACCATAGCATAACCAATAGATTGAACTAGGCATCCTTCAGTCCCGAGAGACTATGGTAACGTGCTCTGGGTAGAGGTCTTGGAACAGCGTCTAGTGTGGCTGAAGAGGCCAATTCAAGAGTGACAATCCCTTCCACACTGAGGACAAATACAATCTGTCCCCTGCCCAGCTCCCTGATTTTGCTGGTTTTGGGACTGCCTCTTTGCCTCGGACTCTTCAAAATGGGAGAGGCCGTGATGCACCGCCTGCCTCCAGGCTGAACGCTCAGATGTCAGGGTTTCCCATCTGTTGAGGTCCATTCTTAAGGCCTTCAGATCCCGCTTGCAGATATCCTTGTATCGCAGTTGTGGTCTCCCTCTGGGACAATTTCCCTGCACTAATTCTCCATACAGGAGATCCTTTGGAATCCGACCATCAGCCATTCTCATGATATGCCCAAGCCAACGTAGACGTCGCTGTTTCAGTAATGTATACATGCTAAAAATTCCAGCTCGTTCTAGGACTACTCTATTTGGAACGTTGTCCTGCCAGGTGCTACCAAAAATGTGTTGGAGACAACGCATATGGAACTTCCTCTCCTGCCGTGCACAAAGCCAATACTGATTAATATAAAACTATAATTAGCAATTCAGGATAAGGTCCTGTTAAGCAGTTGTGCTGTGAACTAACATCAGTTTCCAAACAGTCTTCAGAGGCGGCTCCATAAATAACACATTACAGTAGTCTAACCTGTCATTGAGTAACGTTCAGTGACCCATGCTTTGGTGATCTTTGTCCAGATAGGAACACAACTGGCAAATCAGCCGAGAGTGGTGAAAGGTATTCTGTGCCATGGAGGAAAACAACTCTTAACAGAGGCTGTGCACACCATAGACAACTTTCCTCAGGGAGAATGCAACGCTATCTAATAAAGATGGAGGCTGCTTACCTGGGCAGATGAACTGGCTGTCAACAGCACTTCGCTGTCTTATTTGGACTGAGCCCCATTTTCTTAGCCCTCATCTCCTTCTCCTCCTCCTCTCTTGTTTTGATTTCTGCTCTGCCATGTGTAGGTCCTTTCCCCAGTTGCCTTGGCAGCCCAAGGATGCTTTTTTTAAAAAAAAAACTTCTACTTCTGTGTTTGGATGCCTCCCACAATTCCCTAGCCAGTGGAGAGGTAGTCAGTGCTTTGGGGTTTCTGGGAATTGGAGTCCAAAGAAAAATAATTTTTGCAAGGTCAAATTCTGATGTACACCTTAGGTAAACCCTGCTTGCTTTTTCCCACTCTGCTCTGTGACAGTAATGCAACAAAGCAATTAGCGTTGGTCCCAGCAGACAAAGATACACTTCCTTTGGAACACTGCCCCTACAAACGTTTTAATCGTTGTGGTCTGCTGTCAAGTCACTTCTGATTTACTGTATAGGGACACCGTGAATCAGTGAGACTTCAGAAAGGCCTATTTTAAAAATCTAGAAGTGCCTTGCTAGTCCTTTCTTTCTTTCTCTCTCTTTCTTGACTAAAAAAAAGTTCTAAGGAGAGCGGTGTAGATTTGCCTTGAGTGATACTGGTGGAGGGGATGGGAATTGAGGAACTACAGGGAGAACCTCACTGAATGCCACTGTTGTTGAAAGGAGGCTTTGGAAGTCACACTGGGACCAAGTGTTTCTGAATCAAAGGTGCACAGATTTGTGCCCAGCCTGCTCTGTGATCTTTGGGAGACACTCTGTGCTAAATCTTGTCTGGATCCCTGAAGTACATTCTTGTTGCTTTGTGGGGGGAAAAAAAACCCACAATTCCATGAAAGGTGAAACACAAACAGCAACACAAGGTCTTAGACTGAATGGTGCAAGGTGAAGAGCTTTTGACCCAGGGTAGCAGCTGATGCAGAGGTAGATGCTTCATTATATTTTTATTTTTTCCCCTTTGTTTTTTCCAGCTGCCAAGAGAAAGCTCTAAGTAGCTACCTAAGGAAGCCACAGGAAAGAGTGCAAGTTACCAACTCTAGATTGGCACACTATTCTTTCATTCCTTTTTAGAAGGGCAGTGCAAGGAGCCTAAGTTAATAATATTTCCATGAACTTGGCATGCTTTCTCTACGACATTCAGTTAATTCTACTAATGAAGACTTTCCATGAACTTGGCATGCTTTCTCTACGGCATTCAGTGAATTCTACTAATGAAGACATAATCACTGACACTAGACGATGTTGGTCTGAACTTATTAACACCATTCATACATTCTTTTGAGATTTTGAATCAGTAGACCAAGCGCAAGGTAGATATGCTATTAAAAAGGATGAAATACAGGCACTGACCAACATTTTGGTTTAGAGAAAACAAACAATTATCTGGACAATAAAGCTTTTACATTGTCTCTGCTGGCTCCGAATCCTTCCTACCACTCCGGAGCTTGTGATCAGCAAGCCACTCTTTGACCTGGCAGGGAGGCTTGTCGTCCTGCCTCCTGCCAGGAGTGGCGAGCTGATCTTGAGCTCTGGAGTGATAGGAAAGATTGTGGAGCCGGTGGCAGTGGCGGGATTGAGTAGATGTTATTGCCACCTGTGTGGTGATATTGATATTTGTATACAAATACCCCCATCTCTAGTTCTCAGTTATCCCATAGTGCAGGACACATGATATGGGCTCAAGCTACAGGAAGCCAGATTTAGCCTGACTATCAGGAAAAATGTCTTAACTGTTAGAGCAGTACAGCAATGGGACCAATTACCTTGGGAGGTGGTGAGCGCTGCAAGGTTGGAGGCATTCAAGAGAAAATTGAACAAGCATCTCTCAGATCTGCTTGGATTCCTGCACTGAGCAGGGGCTTGGACTCATTGGCCTTATAGACCCCTTCCAACTCCATTATTCTGTCATTCTGTGATTTAATCAATGAGTTATCGCAAGAAAGAATAAAAAGATTTATTTTTAATTTTTAAAAATCCTGTCGGTCTATGCCCCTGCTAACTGAACATCTTTCTTAATTTTTCTTTTGCTTTCTCCACTTCTAATCTTGACGTGTGACTACTAGATTTAACATGAAGGATCTTTGAAGGTGGTATTCTGTCTTCTTAATGCCTCTGGGTTCTTTCCTCCACTCTCTGGTCACCCCAAACATACACAAATGCCCCCCCCCATTTAGTTGACATTTATACATTTGTCTGAAGACTGTGTACATCCCTGCCTGACACTGGGAGAAAGCAAAACAGGAGAAATAGGGAATGTGTTCCTCCATGCAAATTGGTCCACCAACTTTCATTTACTGAGTGGGACCTTTCTGAAATTCCAGTCTTCCTTTTTGCCATTATTTATTTATTTGCTGACCTTTTACATTTATATCACATCTTTCCTCCAGTGAACTCAAGGCCGTATACATGGTTTATAATTCAGCAACACTGGCCCAACATAATGCAATGCATTTCACCACACAGTATGGACTAGAACCTTGGTCTCTCCAGTCCCAGTCTACAGCTGAACACTATACCACACTGACAGAAACTCCCAGCTTGGAGGACCTTTGTGTTTTTTTCTGAATAGACCCCTGAGGTTCAGCAACCGGAGTCAGTTGCAGAATGAGCATGGATGACAAGGAAATGCATTTGGTTTGCATTTAATGTGAATTTACCAAATTTCATACTTTCCAAATCACTATGTGAACGAAAAGGCAGTTTTCCAATCAAAAAATATGTTTAGAATATGGATATTAGAGGAACCTTATACTAAATATAATGTTAATCTTTATGATGGTAGAAAATCCTTTTTTTAAAATTTGGGGCATAGAAGTATGCTTGGTGAAAGTAACATGGATGTATATGAATGGAAATAACATAAAATGCATTCTATTTGGTGAAATTTCTTGCAGAAAACTATATTGTGGGAAATGCATTAAAAAAACCACAGTTTGAAGCAGTTCCAACAAAAATGCCTGGAAGTTCATGGGTGTCTGTAAAAATCGTAAACTTTTGCAGAAACAGGATGAAATGAACTTAAACGGGAAACTGAGCAACACCAAAACATCCATTCCCTGTTTTGGAGTTACAGTCAAATACCGGATGTGTGTCCCGATGACACAAATGCTGTAGTTGCTTGATCAGCAAGCAGAAGTGCATAGAAGAGATCAGGGCTTGTAATGGCAGTTTATAGAACCCCCTTAATCTGACACACTCTAATTTTAGGACCTGAGGGGAACTCTCCCATTGTTGCCCTTATTAACACATTGTGAATCAAGGGAAGAAAAAAAAATAGATGACCAGATGCATCACCTCGCATGATCTCGCAGGTAGATCCCAGTCTACCTTCTGGCCACTTCTAAGATCTCCTGCCGTACACTCTGCATTGGAGCCTCTCCTTGAAAGGCGGTCTGGTGTGGAATGGTTTTATATACTTTCCCTTTCTTTCTTGCCTCTTCCCTAAAGGACACATTGGATGCATACCCGTGTGGCTCCGACCACACCCCCAGTCCCATGGCCAGCCGACTGCCGCTGGAAGTGACCCCCGTCCTGGAAATGCCGGATGCCCATCTCACGGCTGTAGCGGTCAGCATCGAAGATGGACACACCGTTATTTTCCTGGGGACCAGCAAAGGTCAGCTGCACAAGGTACGTGTTTATTGTGCAAAGGGAGGAATACCAATGCAGATTAAAGTTTCAGTCAAAGGCTAGGATTTATTTCATTTCATTTATTTTTTGGAGTGTCACTTCTCGAGTCCCTCAACCTGCATGGCTAGAAGTGGCAGGAATCCCAGGAACTGTCGTTCAAAAATGTTTATTTTTTTCCCCAAGCGCTGGTTCTTTCACTGTTCTCATTTCTCAATTGGGGTTTATCTGCTTTGTGCAAATACGAGTCTGGAGAGCTTTACACATATTGCTTGCCCCAGCATAGATTAATCCATATATTTGAAAGTGTGTTCATTATATAACGTCTGCTGGGTCGCGTGGGTTGTAATAATTCAACATGAAGATTCAGAACGGAGAAAAATTGGCAAACCCACATATGTTACGAAAAGTAAACTAATACACATATATGGGAATATTTTATGTAATTTATTTTATGGGACCTGACAAGAAGGGTGAAGAAGAAACTAAGTTGATAAAGCTGTAACTCATCCCCACCCACTCACCCATACTGATCCCTGGAAATCTTGCTGTGTGACCTCAGCTGTCTTCTCAGGCTTCACCAGGCCTGTATTCTTTATATAGCCTATATTTGCAACAGTGAGGGCTAGAAGCTTAACTTTTTGAAGAAAACTGAAAAAAAAACTAGACTTGTTTTAATCCACAAAGAAATGAGCACAGCTCAGGATATGAGAAACTTTTGATGCATGTGTTTGAACGGACATTATGCTTTACACTGCATGAATTGTAAATGATACATACAATTTTTTTTTGCATGAACGCAAATTTTTGTGTTGGGGAAGATTACTGTAGTTTATCTTGTTCTGTCTTGTTTTCCTCCCTGTACAAGTAATCCGAGCATGGTCACTGGGGTGTGTGTGAATTATTGGCAGTAGCATTTAGCAGTACTTAAGACTCAGGACAGGATAGAGGAATTAAATTTTACTCGCTTCTATAAAGGGGACTGTTCTTAAAGTTGAGTAAGGAAACTTTTTTTAAAAAAGTCAACATCCTTGCAAACTTCAAACCAAAAGGCATTATTTCGCCCCCCCCCGACCGCCACAAGTGTTATGTGTTTATGTGGCAACTCTGGTGAAAGGCGAAACTCGTGCTAGATGACAGCATCATTCCCATTTTACAGTTATGAAAACTACAGCTGCAAAAGTCATTCTATGTCCAAAGACATTATCCTCAGGAAATGTGTAGCTGAAGTCACAGGGGAAGCCTCAATCCAACTTTCTAGCCACTGAAACAGTTTTTCCTCAGCGCTCAACCTGGGTATTGTTATTATTATTATTGCCAGAGGCGGGCCCCCATTCTTCCTCAGCCTGGCTATCCTGTCAACCCAAAAGGGCACTCGGGAGCTGCCCTCTGGCCAGCCCTGCTCGTGCTGCTCCCAGGCCTCCATCACTCCCGTTAACAAGAAGAGGGGTTTTTTTCCTTCAATCGTTAGCTGGTGGTGCCCCCTAGTGGCCTCCTTCAAAACGCAATACGGGTGCTTGCTTTCCCCACCCAATCCCCCGTGAAGCCCGCATAGCGCAGCACTGCAGTCTGGATTCAGGCGGCCTGTGACTTTTGTGACAGTCACTGCATTCAAGCAGTCCTTTCCGGGTATTGTTATTATTATTATTGCCAGAGGTGGGCCCCCATTCTTCCTCAGCCTGGTTATCCTGTCAACCCAAAAGGGCACTTGGGAGCTACCCTCTGGCCAGCCTTGCTCGTGCTGCTCCCAGGCCTCCATCAGTCCCGTTAATAAGAAGAGGGGGGGGGGGTCCTTCAATTGTTAGCTGGTGGTGCCCCCTAGTGGCCTCCTTCAAAACACAATACGGGTGCTTGCTTTCCCCACCCAATCCCCCGTGAAGCCCGCATAGCGCAGCACTGCAGTCTGGATTCAGGCGGCCTGTGACTTTTGTGACAGTCACTGCATTCAAGCAGTCCTTTCCTGTAGCATCCCATACAGCAGATTAGATACAGTACTCCAATTAGCAGATACTACAAAGAACACAGCCTGCATGTTTCCCTTCCCCTACTCGCTTATACATTGATGTGTTTCTTTATGTATCAGCAGTTCTAGGGTTTACTTAATGATTAATTAGAATTTTCATTGTGCTTTGGAGCTCAGGACTCCCTTTTTGCACAATAGTAATATGGAAGCATGTTGTTATTATGTGCCATTCAAGTTGCCTCCAACGTACGGCGACCCTATGAGCGAGCATTGTTCTGTCCCTACTCGCTTATACATTGATGTGTTTCTTTATGTATCAGCAGTTCTAGGGTTTACTTAATGATTAATTAGAATTTTCATTGTGCTTTGGAGCTCAGGACTCCCTTTTTGCACAATAGTAATATGGAAGCATGTTGTTATTATGTGCCATTCAAGTTGCCTCCAACGTACGGCGACCCTATGAGCGAGCATTGTTCTGTCCCTACTGTAGTTGCCTCCAACATATGGCGACCCTATGAGTGAGCATTGTTCTGTCTACTGTCTACTGTCCTGCTCAGCTCTTGAAAGCTGAAGCCTGTGGTTTCCTTTAGGGAATCAGTCCGTCTTGTATTTGCCCTTCCTCTGTTCCTGCTGCCTCCCACCTTTCCCGATATTATTGCCTTTTCCAGAGAATCCTGCCTTCTCATGATGTGCCCAAACCAGGATAGCCTTCCTTTAGCGTCTAGGAGTGCCACTAAACCTACTTTGATGGATTGGAGCCTGATTGGAATCTGATCCCCTTTTCTCTGCTTGATTTGCTGCCTTGCAGGCCTACCTGGGAGCGATGGGAGAGGCTCATTTGTATGCTTCTCAGGTGATTGAGCCGAACAGTGCCATGAGTGGAGACCTCCTGTTTGACCAGCAGAAGAAGCACCTGTATGTCATGACCCAGTCTACGGTGAGAGCAAATGCCATCCCTCTGTTCCACACACAGCGCTCGCAGTGGAAAAGGGAGGAGCAGGTTCACTTCTCAGAAAGGACCTCACTCTGACATAGAATCATAGAAGGGTCCTAACCCCCTGCTGCATAGAATAATGGAGTTGGAAGGGGCCTAACCCCCTGCTTGAATGCAGGAATCTAAATCAAAGTCTATCTGACAGAGGGTTGTCCAATTTTCCCTTGAATGCCTTCAGCATTGGAGCACACATTACCTCCTGAGGTAATTGGTTCCATTGTCATGCTGCTCTAACAGTTAGGAAGTTTTTTTTCCTGACATTCAGCCTACATCAAGCTTCCTGTAGCTTGAGCCCATAATTACATGTCCTGCAGTCTGGGATGATCGAGAACAGATCCTGCCCCTCTCTGTATGACTACTTTTCAAGTATTTGGGCATGTTGAGCCTTGAGAAAAGAAAACTGAGTGGAGAGAGGATAGTACTTTTCAAGTATTTGAAAAGTACTATCCTCTCTCCCCTCAGTTTTCTTTTCTCAAGGCTCAACATGCCCAACTCTTTCAGTCTTTCCTTGTAGGGATTGGTCTCCAGTCCCCAGATCATCCTTGTTGCAGTGGGACCTCATCCTTTTAAGAGCTGTGCCCGCAGCAAGTGTATAGTATTCAGATCCGTAGCAAAGAACTTGCCTGTACTTTGGAGCAAGGAGGGAAATACAAGAGCATGGAAATATTCCCTACAGTTTTGCAAATTATAATCTCAAAAAGCAACATTCCCAAGATCTAGAAAATAGATAACCAACATCTTGTACACAAAATTATTATTATTTTTTTGTGCTTGAACAAATAAATGTATGAAAAGACAGGGTGCATCAAAACAATACTCCATCTGACTCGGCAAGCTAAAGATTTCAGGAGTATTTTGCCTATTCCCTTTTTATCCTTGGCTAGATGTACCTTCTCAAGTTCTCTCCAGCATATTTGGTGGCTTGATGGATTTCTCTCCTACAAATGGAGAAACTCCTCTGGTATTCATAGACCTTTGTGGCCTGCCTTGAGCGCTTGATGTAAAGAAAGATGGAAATTCATATCAAGACAGAAAGGAAGAGTGCTTAAGGCTGCCATACATGTAACCCGGGGGGATCTTGAATGCTTGAAGTCATGAACGAGAAAGAGCTTGCTTGCCTCATTCATTCAGTTGTTCATGCATTCACAGCTATAAAACGGTTTTCCCCGTGGAATTTTATTTTCTCTTGAAAGAAAGGTAAAAATAACACCACCAAAAACAAGAAGACACATGAGAGTCCACAGTCCACCAAAGAAGAGCAAGGAATCTCACTTGTTATAACGCTTGGCCTATCTTAGGTAGGTTTGTGTAACAATGTGGGGGAAGGAGTATGAAGAGGAGTCGAATATCAAGCGATTCAGGACCCTCAGTGGTAAAGGTAAAGGTTCCCCTTGACAATTTTTGTCCAGTCGTGTTCGACTCTGGGGGGGCGGTGCTCATCCCCGTTTCCAAGCCGTAGAGCCAGCGTTTTTGTCCGAAGACAATCTTCCGTGGTCACATGGCCAGTGCGACTTAGACACGGAACGCTGTTACCTTCCCACCGAGGTGGTCCCTATTTATCTACTTGCATTTGCATGCTTTCGAACCGCTAGGTTGGCAGGAGCTGGGACAAGCGACGGGCGCTCACTCCGTCACGTGGATTCAATCTTACGACTGCTTGGTCTTCTGACCCTGCAGCACAGGCTTCTGCGGTTTAGGCCACAGTGCCACCACGTCCCTCTAGGAGAGAGATAGCAGATGTTAAATGTGTAAGTGAGAGAAAGTGTGTGTGTAGAGATAGCAAAAAGAAAAATTCTGTACTTGAGTGCATTTTGACCCTAATTTGAAAGGCTTCCACATGAGAAATAAATGCAAACCGTGGTGCAATAATGTCTTCTTCTTCTTTGCAAAAGCAAAACAAAGAAGAATCCCTTGCTTGATACACTTGCCAAGTATGTTTCCACATGAACAGGGTCTCCTGGATTTTGTCAGCCGGTAACTGTTTAGTTAGCTGCTTTTCAGGCCTTCTGGGACTACCCTATGCAATTCTGCTACAATTGTATAGTTGTCTTTATGTAGGGATGCATGATCGTGGAAATCCAAAACAATGAAGAAGCATAGCTTCAGTTGTAAAACCATTATGGGATGGGAATGGGTACCTGGTTCTTAAGAGTGCTTTATTTTATTTCATTTTATCCCCAGTGTGCGAGTTCCCTGAGGTATCAGTGGTTAAACCTGAGTTAAACCTGAGAATAGACATAAACAAGACTATTAAAGTATGAAACACTCTGTAGGCTGCCCTATATTTGCACGCACGCCCCAGCCACACAGAAATAAATGCATGCAAAATATGTTGCGACTTCAGTTGCTTTGTGCAGGGTATGTTTCTTAAGATACTTGCTAGCCTTTTAATTTGAAAAAAAAATGTTTCAGACCATTAAGAGGGACTTCCTGACAAAAAGCAGGCGACAGCCTGGGAGAGGGAGAAAAATCCAGCAGATGGGAAGCATCTCATAAGACAAAGAGGGCTGGCTGGGCACTCTGCAGCCCCAGCTATCAGGCCATCTCTCCCAGCCTGAGGTCGTTTATCACTGTCTGCTCTTTATAAGCGCTCCACCAGGCTTCCTTCCACCTCCACAGCGTCCTGTCCAGGACAATTGCAAATTTCAAAAAAGGCTCCGTCAACTGTTTTTCGTAGAGTGCATCACTACCAATTTCCCACACAGCTGGACCTTTGCAGCTCCCCCCCCCCAAAATATATATACATATACACACATATATTTTCTCTTTCGCCCCTTTGGTCTTGTTCAGAGGGCAGGAAAATTGCACAGAATCACACAGAGTTAGATGTATCCTGTTATCAGTCAAATAAACTAGGACTGCCTTGTATTCTCGAAGGCTTTCACGGCCGGGATCTGGTGGTTGTTGTGGGTTTTTCAGGTTCTTTGGCCGTGTTTTGAAGGTTGTTCTTCCTGACAGACTGGCGAAACGCCAGGAAGAACAACCTTCAGAACACGGCCAAAGAACCCGAAAAGCCCACAACAACCATTAGGACTGCCTTGTTTTGCCAATCAGTAATTTAATAAATCAAGATCAACTAGTATTCCATACATTCCTCCTCGTCTCCACTTTTCTGCTCCCTGCCCACAGAACTCAGGCAGCAATCTGTGGCCATGGAGCTTGCTCGGCCTCACGGAGCTGTTTGGGAATGTTTTCCTACCCTTAGTACTTATATTTCATAAAGCTTTTAGTACTCCTGCAAACCACGAAGTTGTTCCAAGGCTACTGTCCTCTCCTTGCTCATGGGGGAAGTCATTTGGCATCAGTTGTGTGTGCACCTGAAATCAGCACAAACAGGGCATCCAGTGATATCTCTTTGCTTCTCAATCCGAGGGTCCTTTTGTACTTCTGCAGTGCTAGCGTACCTTTCCTACAAATTGATGCAAGTTTCTTAATTAACCATTTAAATGCATATAGGTGGGGCAGGATCAAAAAGCAATCAAGGATCACATCTGCTCCCACTGGAAAAGATGGCTTTGCAGGGAGCGATCTCCTTTAAAGCAATCCTTCTGTGCCTATGGGAATTACTCTAGCCCAACTTCAAAAGAGCAGCCCTGCATGGAACACGGTCAGGCTGGTTGGTTGTGATCTTCCGTATGTTGTCTGATTGGTGGAAAATAGCTCATACCAGACCGTACTCCAGGCAGTCCAAAATGCAAGCCATTTCTCCATTTGATGGCCCCTTTCATCAGCTAAGATTCCATTTGTTGGGTGGTGCCCATAGTGTCAACAGAAACTTTCTAGCAACTAAAAGTGATTCCCGAGTCCTCATTATTCCCATTTTAATGTTTTTTCACTATTCAGACATATGTAGAAATATAATAAAATATTTGGGTACAAATCAAATAGGTCAAGTGACAAATGGGATCAGAGTGAATCAGAGGCTCACCACAGGAGCGTTCACCCCACTGTTTGGTCCTCTGCAGGGACAGGCTGGTCTGCTCCTAGAGACAATTGTCTCTTTGCTGGAGTCAGTGGCGTAGCGTGGGGGACACAAGGGCGGATCCCCTGGGTGCAAAACTTTTATGGGATGCAACATTCTTAGGGGCACACAGGCTGCCCACCCAGCTTGCTTTCCATAGCTGTTCCTTGCGCTCCTCTTCCCCCTCCCAGCAGACTGAGTCTGCGCCGCCAGGGTGCTGGAGCCATTGCCTTCGTCAGTGCTCAGCAACCACTTCATGTCACAGTCCCAGGGATTTCTCCCATCCCACCTCACATCCTCACAGTCAGCCTCACAATGCTTGCCTTGCCCTCACACTGCACCACTGGCTGGAGTGAAATAACCCACCCACAGAACAGTCAGACTCACACCTTTCTGACCCTTACCAGGGTCTTCTACATTGTTGGTGCAGGTAGGATTGCTCTATTTTGGTTTGTTTTCAGCATATGCAATAGCTGGGAACAAACCAAAGCAAGTCTTCCTGTTTGAATTGTCAGTATTGTGAAGTGGCTTAAGGAGACAGCCGCTTCAGGGTACTGGGAAATTTGACGCATTCTCATCTCTTCGGTGGAGAGGCAGAGAAAGTGACATTTTTAAAAGAATCCATTAGGTCAAGGAAAATGTACTGCATCACTTATTAAACGTTTTTGAAAAAAAAATATTTTCTGTGCTTTGTCTTACATGGCTAGTTGACAAATTGCCCACAATGAAAACTATAGCAGCAGATTCACCTAATGGAACTTTAAAAAAAAAAATTACCTCCATGGTTCCTTCTCCAAGGAGCAGAAGTGTTTGATTTGCTAATGTCCTGAAGTTGCTTTCTTCTTAAGTCACTTCACAATATCGGAAATCCCCACTGAAAGGAGCTGGGCCAAATTGAGCTCTGACATGCCATTTGGATGCGAGGACCACACCCAGTGGCATAGTGCGCCTCTACCCAAGTCCAAACAACCCTATTTAGTGTATTCACGAAGGCTTTCACAGCTGGGATCTACTGGTTGTTCTGGGTTTTTCGGGCTCTTTGGCCGTGTTCTGAAGGTTGTTCTTCCTAACGTTTCACCAGTCTCTGTGGCCATGGGCATCTTCAGAGGCCAGGAGGGTATGTGAGACCTCTGAAGATGCCCATGGCCACAGAGACTGGTGAAACGTTAGGAAGAACAACCTTCAGAACACGGCCAAAGAGCCCAAAAAACCCCACAACCCCCCTATTTAGCTTTCCCCAAAAGAGTCATGTAGGCAAGCCCTCCGTTGTAGTTTATTGGACACACAATTCAGTGTGAATCCGTGTAGGTGCTATTTCATGCCCCCTCCTTTCAACATAGGTCTGTACAATTCCTTGTTTTGAGTAATTTTCACACCGTACAGTGCAGAAACTGTGGGAGGAAGGAGGGGTGGAAAACACTGGTGTCCTCTCAGCTCTTGTCCACTAAAATAGAGCTTAGACCTCATGCTTTCTGAACATTATGCCCTGAACTTAGTTCCTTTTCAGATTTCAACTCCCGATGGCAATACTTGCACCACTTGTTAAATTCCAGGCTTCCATGAAATTAACGCCGGACAGAGACTAGTTGAGAAACATGGTGCCCTTCATGGAGAGGGGGGGAGAAAAACAAGAGTCCTGCAAAATCCGTGGCCAGAAGGTAGATGTTTGAGCTTCTTTGGTTTCCAACAGGATGCTCCGTATCTTCCTCTTACAGGTCTCCAAGATTCCCATTTTTGAATGCTCCAAGTACTCTGACTGTGAATCGTGCTTGGCCCTGAGGGACCCCTATTGTGGATGGTGTGTTCTCCAAGGAAAGTAAGAAAGAACTGGCTTGGATTTATTTTCTTAATGATTTCATAGAGAAGTCTGTATGGGATACACAGAGGGCCAAACAAGCAGCTGGGACCCAGAGATTCGTTTTTCCCCAAACTGCTTTTTTCGTTTTAACCTTGTGCAATGGAGAGGTGGATAAAGTAGAAAGAATGGAGAAGCCTTCATCCAGTTTGGACAGTTGTGTAAGAGAGGCCGTGAGGGGCTTAATAAGGATGGCAAAAACAGGAGCTTTTGTTTTGCTGTTGACAAAAGTGGTGATTTCTTACGCATCATTGCCTGCTCCCTATTAGTATCCCAGTGGTGAAGGTTGCCAAATAATTTGTCCAGCAGGGCTCCTGGAATGACACAGCATTGTTTCAACAGAAGGGGCAGCTGCTGTGGCCGTGGTAGGGTAAAGTGCCTCCCTCTGAAGATTCAGGGAAGGCCTTGGGGGCCTGTCCCACCACCAGGCGTTTTTAATCTCCATTGTACAGAATCCTTTTTTGCTCTATATTCACATACAACATTTTGGAGAGGTCTTCTTCCATAAAATGCCGGAAACTAATTATAAAGTCCCTTGGACTTCCTATTGATTCCGTTTAAAATGGGGTTTGGTGGGAGGTCTCTTTTTTAACATATAAAGAGCTAATTAAATACTTACTCCCTGCTAAGTTATGAATTGCCTTGTCGTGGAGGTCAGTTAAGTTCCCATTCTTGCGTCAGTTCCTGGAACTCTGCAATAATAATGAGTAAATGAGCTGGAGAGATCCTAATAGCAAATGAAGAACCATTTCCTACAAACCTGATTTCCGTTTGCGTCCTTATACTGATGCAAACAAACAGCTATTTCCTGAATTAGAAGTGCACAAAGAATGTTGGGTTTGGGCCGTATTTGCAGATTTTAACGAATCACTTCTTTCTTGTATTGTTTTCTTGTAGGGATAATGGTTTTATTTCTGGTTTTTAAAATGTTCTCAGTTTTTTTTCTTTTCCATGTTAGAGATCACCAAAATGATTAGTTTTAATACTGCTCGTTTCTTTGAAATGCTTAATAAAATGTTGATTTAAGATGTGGTGACAGACAGGAAGTTTGCTGCTTGTAATGGGGTACCATGAGGTACTGGAAATGCTACTGGACTCCTGTTCTGGGCAGACAAGAAAACCTTAGATTCCCAGAGCACTCAGTTTTGAATTAGGTGATCTGCTCCATATATTTGCAGACAGGCAATATCCATTGTTATTGTTGGCTCAAGCTGTTTCCAATGTTAAAAAATGAAAACATTAAAAATAAGAGTATCGTAAAACCAGTAGCCTAAATTCAATTGCAGATCATGACTATAGCAAACACTGAACCACTTGCTGAAAGGTACACCAGAACCTACGTAAATCTGGTTGGTTCAATAGGTCTACCGCATTTGGATCTAGCAACTGGATTTAGGCTTACCGTATATATTTGTATCATACAAAGGCTGTGCTTCTCTCTCAGTAAAAATAAATCAAAGGGCAATCAGTCAGCATAGGTTCAATCTGTTAAAAAAAAACACAATAGGTGATAATCTCGTAGCCATGCCTGAGAGTAGAGGAATATGTTAATAGAGACAGGATGATAATACTGGGGCTGGGTGAGTTTTAGAAGGGTCCACAGATAGAGGGACCTAACTGAAATGGCCTTCAACCTTGTCACCCCCCCCAAGTCTCTCTCAGAGGAGCTGCTGAGGGGAAGACGTCAGATGTTGCTGTCACGATAGTTTGATGTTGATATAAGTGTTTTATCAGAGATCGGGGATCTGAGCCATATAAGTTTTTATAACCGGGACTTTGATTTGGGCCCAGAAATGTACTGCTAGCTACTGCAGACCGATATGATATGTTCAAACCCAAATCTTGCAACTTTACTTTTTTTAGACTATACTGTAACTCCCAGAATCCTCCAACTCTTGTGACCTTTGGGGGCTTCTGGGAGATGCTGTCTGAGGAAGTGGATTTGTCCATGAAAGCTCACATTAGAAATCAGCAGTTAATTTTTGTTGTTGCTGTTGTTGTTGTTGTTTTTTGGGGGGGTTGTCTTGGTAAGGTGTAGTTTTTAGCCAAAGCTCTGGACATTGCATAAACAGGACAAAGCTGCTTGCCCTCCCTTGCAAGTTTATCTCCTCTTTCGAACAACCGAATTGTTGTTGTTGTTGTTGTTTTGGGGGGGGTTGTCCTGGTAAGGTGTAGTTTTTGGCCAAAGCTCTGGACATTGTATAAACAGGACAAAGCTGCTCGCTCTCCCTTGCAAGTTGATCTCCTCTTTCGAACAACCGAGGGTCTCTTCTGTTTCTCCTCAGCCTTCATTTATTTGTGTCTCCCTAGGTGCAGCCGTCACTCCGAATGCTCCAGGTTTGACGTGAGCGAGCAGTGGCTGTGGGGGTTTAATGTGACCCAGCAGTGTCCGTCTGTCCAGTCGCTGAGCCCTGCCAGCATCAGCCGAGAAGAGCAGAAAAATGTGAGCTGCTCAGATATGTAGTTTCCCCATAAAGGGTGTGAAATCCTCTTGTAAAGAGCAAACGTCTTGCCTTCTGGGGAAAGCTGAAGTGTGAGTGGCTTGTGCATCTTCTTTTCACACTTCTGTTGTGGAAGGAAGGAATCGGGAGTCATTCACACTTTTGCTGTCACCGCTTTCGTGTGATGTGGAATCGCACAAACCTAAATAGATAAACCTTGGAAAGGGTGCAAAGTGTGTGTCAAGAACAAAGCTTGGTATTGATTTCCTTTCCTTTCCTTTTATTTTTTCTTTCCTTTTCTTTTCTTTCTGGATGAGTTCCCAGAATTCTCCTGCCAGCTTGCATTCACTAGACTGCATGGGGATGCTGAGAGTTGTATTCAAAAGATGAATGGTTCCTAATTATTTAGGCTCTCCAGATATTTAGGGAGGAGCGTTTCCCAGCCTTCTCTGGAGATGCCAGCATGGAACCGTCTGCATCCAAAGCACATGTTCTTATCGATGACATAGGTATGGTCCTTCCCAGCAGATAAAGGAATACACATGCATTTCAGTTTTTTGTGCCTCTGTCAGTCCCTGCATAGAAAAGCATATAAAACATATTGGCCGGATAGTTCATTGTGCCTCCCAAGAGGACAGCCAGCCTGCATAGCCTTGAACAAGCTGCACAGTCCCGGGACAGCTCCAGAAGAAAATCTGCACAGTCCCAGGACACCTCCAGAAGAAAATAATAGTAAATCATTTCTGAGTACTTTATACCTTGAAAACCCTGGTAAGGGTTGCCTTAAGTTCGAATTGACTTGATGGCATATAATCAGTCTTATGAAGTACAGTAAATGAAAAAATATACAGTACAGAGCTGTGGAAAACATGATAGAAACAATTAGTATTTCCCTCTTTATTTTTCCTTGGCTGGGGTAGTATCCAGCACCTTGGATTACATTGGTGAAGTTCAGACTAAAGCCGGAGTGGATTCACTCTTCCATGACATGATAGTAACCAGCTTCCTCTGCAAGGATTTTGCTCCCTTATGTCTTCATAGACCTATCAACTTCCTTGGCATTTATTTTATCCTACCTCTTCCAGTTTCAGATGCGATAATGCCCCATGAGAGGATATTTCTTTATAAAGAGCAAGATTCGTGTATTGATTTGTATACTGTCTGATTGACAGATATTCCTGACCCTTTCGGATTTGCCACCCCTGCCAGACAGAGAGTATTATTCGTGCTTCTTTGAGGACTATGAGAGCCCAGCGGTGCGGATGGGGTCGGGCATCATGTGTCCCTCGCCAAATCCAAGCCATGCGCTGGTCCTGAAAGCAGGAACAGGTGAGTGCCTGCCGTAAGAAATAGAACCACCATGGTCACATTCAAGCATCGCATTAAGCTACAGCTCAAAAGGAATCCTGTTTGGTGGAGGATGAACAGTGCATTCTGGCGCTCAGTACCAAATGTGCAACCATGACAGTGGGAGCAGCTAGGATCGTAAGCAGCTAGGATCGTAATGCATAAAGGGGAATCAAACCACTCATCCTAATAGCCCAATAACGCCCACTCCAATTTGTAGTGGTGTTTTAGAGTCGCAGCAGCATCTCCTGTCTAGAGATGCTAGATTCTGATCCTGAGAAATTCTATAGGGCACCTATTCAATTCAATTCAATTTTATTTAATTTTAAGCCAAAGGCCATTAAAACATTGGATCAGCACCTAGACCGGAGCTACAGTTCCTTGCTGTTTGCCCAGTGGTTTGTTTATTGTGTCTAATTGTTTATTGTGCTAATACAGCAGGGAGCTTGCTCTCTATCTTGCCTTTCTTCAGATAAACCACAGAAATAACTCAGAGTTTGTTTTGTGGTTAGTTCTCTGGCTTCTCAGGAGGGAACAAAACCAGGCAAACGGCTTACTGCCAGGTTTGCAGCTCACAGGCCTGGGCCTGTTTTCTTGATGGCACCTGCAACAAATTGGAGAGATTAGCCATTGTACACAACCATACTGGGTTTGTTCTGCACAAAGTGGAATTCTCTTGGCTTCACCAGGGTAAGATGTCGTGTAGGGTGTTCAAAGTGTTCCTCTCTCAACTTTTTCAAAGTTCGGGGCTGAGATTTCTGTGTAGGCCATGAAATGGATGGAATTAATCTTGCTAGGGCGCCACCTCCATGCTGTAGCATAGCCCCAGTGCCGTTTGATATGGGGAAAATCCTATATTGGGCAGAATGCAGGACAATTTCTCTCCTCTCCAGGCTCTTTGTACCATTGCCAATGAGTTAAGCCAGTACTATCTCTGGAGGGAAAAATATTGAAACTGATGCTGTCCTACTCATCATGAGAAGATAGGCGTCTCTGGAAAAGACAATAATGCGGGGAAACATGGGAAGCCACAGGAAAAGTGGAAGACCAAATATGAGATGAACTGACTCCCTAAAAGAGACCACGGGCTTGAGTCTGGAGGGGTTGAGCAGGGTGGCTGAGGACAAGATATTTTAGAGAGTGCTTATTCATTGAGTCCCCATGTGTCAGAGGTGGCAGCACACAACAAAACCAGTACAGACTTTCCATCGCATTTGCTACAGTTTATTTTTTTTATTTATTTTAAAGTTGTGTTATGAAAGACCTTTGTATAAGCTTGAAAGAATGTTTTTATTGCTTCCAACCATTTCACCCTCTCTGTCGATTCCAGTTACTACTCCTTGGACAAGATCCCATGAGATCCCCACCAAGAATCCTCTGTCCTCCTCTTCCTGCTTCTCCCAACACTCTCTTTCTTAAATCTCATTACCAGGGATGGGGAACCGTGAGTCACAACTCGCTGTCGAGTCTGACTTCAGTCACACTTCCAGCTCGACACAGACGAGAGTCGGGCCCAGTGTCCCTTCCAGGCCCCCTGTCTCTGCACCTGCGCGGTCCAAAGTCTTTGGGTCCCCGTCCTGAGTCCCAGGCCTTGAGGAGGCGAGGCAAATGACTCGAGTGTTGAACCCAAACTTGGGACTCGAGCCTCAAGATTTGGGCTTGGCACTTGGGCCCAAAGACTTGTCAATGTCCCTGCTCATTATTTTTCTGGGGGGGTCTTGTATATGCTTTGTCTGCATCAGAAGAAAATGAAAGACTCTCGTTTCTTCTATTTCATAAACCACCTACATGTACTTTTATAGGAATAGTACCCCATGTTTTTATGAGGTAAAAATATTGAAATAAACTTTGCAAAATATGTTCTGCTAGCTGAGAGTTTGTAGAATTTGGTTTTTATACCTGTAACATTTTGATTGACTTTTAGAGTATTCTAGTAGGGTCAGGGAAAAAAACACGCTTATTGGTGGACTACCATTTGCCTCGCTCCTAACTGGCATAGCAGATGGCAAAGGGTGATGGGAGTTGTAGTCCCCACCCCTGCATTTAGATCACCCATCCAATCCCATCTCTCATTATCAGTGTTTGAATTGTCTGGGGAAGATTTGCTGGTGAATTATGTTTTTTGTCTTTTCCCTTCTCATTTCAGACCACATAACCATTCAGCTGGTGGTGCGCTTCCATGACATTTTCATTGCTTCGACACCCTTTTCCTTCTATGACTGCAAAGCAGTGGCTTTTCTGAGGAGATCAGCACCGTAAGTCCACAAGGGTGCCCTCTCCCGCATTATTATTTCCCTGGCGTTGTCCTTGTGGTGAAGCTCTTATTTGACTTTTTTGGGGGGCTCCTTAACAGCTATTTGTGTTTATTTGCTTCCAGGTGCCAGGGATGTGTGAGCAGCCACTGGGGCTGTAACTGGTGTGTCCAGCAGCACCTTTGCACCCATAAAGCTGCCTGTGAAGAAGGAACCATGATCTACAATGAGAGGGTGCGTCTTTCAATGCTTCCGTCTGCTAAGCAGTCTCTTGAATGCCTGGCTAGTAAAGTTCCAGTGGGAAGGAGAGCATTTTATTGCCATGCTATTCAGTGCATCATTACAGTGGGGCACCAGCTTTAGAGAAGGAATAAGTAATGTGGCTAGTGAGCCCATCTTTGCTAGTGCCCCCTCCTGTCTTTGTGCAGACAGCCCCTCCCAACTCCTGCCCAGGTCCTTGACCTTTTGCTGCGGCCCTATTTATTATTCTGCTGCAAAAGGGGGACTGCTGTTTTCTCTTTGAAACAAGGTGCAGACTCCCCGGGCACCTTGTTTACAAGCAGAGCTGGAAGCCCTCCTGAGTTAGGATTCTGTTTGTTGCAAGAGACAAACGTGGCCACTCCTCTGGAAATAGTTACAGGATGAAGAAAAGGGAGGAGGTTTGGAGCACAGACAGATGTGCAGTAGAACAAGATGGGAGAAAGTGAATGAGTGGAAAAACTGCAGGTACCTACATGGGCTGAAGTGCAGTAGGAAAGCCCAGGGGCTGCCTACGGTAGGTCCCAAGTACAATCCTTGGCATCTCCTGGAAAATTGGGGAACAACCAAGGTCTGAATCCCCATCTGTTGATGGAGACCAATTCCAATCAACCCCTGGCAGTGCAGCCAATAATCAAGATTTATGGAAGTTGTCATCCTTGAAACACTGGAAGAACCTCAGGTTCCCAGCTACTGGTGTAGCCACTTCTGTCTTGAATGGACCAGTATGCTGACTCAGCATACGGCACCCTGAAAATTGCAAGATCCACTGAGGATAAAGTGGAAAGAGAGAAGGTGCCTATGCTTGGCCCTACTCTTCAAGGTTCTGTTCAAGTGGACAAATGCCTTAAGTAGTATTCCTGTGCTCATTCAGTGGGGATTTAACAACTCCTCTATAAGTTCCAGTGGTTCAGTGAGCCTGCTCTACTTGTGACTTACTACTAGTTTCAGTTGCTGTTTGCAACTTGTTTTGGGGTAGGAATCTCTCATATCCACAATCATTGGTTATTGGTTGTTTTTTTTTTAATTGCTGCTGTTGCTAATTTCTTTCTGTGACTGGCTCTCCCTTCTCTTTTCGTCCCTCCAGACTCAGATACCAAATTTTAGTCCGTTTCCTTCCTCAGCCACTCCAAATGCAGCAACCTCCCCCTCGTCGTCGTCATCATCAACTGGGGCCACGGAAGCCACTGTAATCTCAGTGACACCTCTGCCTCCTTCTACCCCCAGTCCCACCACCGTACCTGTTATTCCTGCTACCTCACCACCAGTGACTTTAGCAGTCACAACAGCACAGCCAGAAACCTTGGGTCCCACGCATGTGGCGTCCTCGAACACAGCTGCGGTCACTTCGCCAGAGGCGGCAACCGCAGACTCTTTGACGCTGGCCCCAACAGAAGTGCCTACTACCGCTAGCCCTACCTCTGAGCCTACCTCTGGCCACCCACCGGAGACCCCTGGCCACACGACACGTCCTACCTCAGAACTGACCACGGGCCTCGACGACTGGTCGACCGTTTCTCCTTCCACAGCCACCCAGAGTACGGAGTGGCCTTTTGTGGAGTCATTGACGCCTTCTCCAGATATTGAAAATTCAACCACGACCTCTCCTCTCCCAGAGGCCACCCCGTCCCCCATGCCAACTCTTCTCACCCCCAACCAAACAGGAAATGCTTCCACCTCTTCCCTTGATCTGCTGTCGGAAGACCTGGAGACGGAGTTACCGACGTCTGAGACGCCCCTGCCTACCGGCCCTTCCGACTGGCCTCTTCCTGAGGACAGTACAGAATCCAAGGACAGCGAGGAATGGCTGGGTCCTCTGCTGCCGGAGAACGACACGTCCTCTCTCTCGGCCTCCATCCTCCTCTCAGGAGACGGAGACTCCTCAGAGAGTGACATATCGGATTTCCCCAGGATTCTGAACCCAGGACTGGACTATCAATATGACGCCCCTGGGTTTCTAGACTTGGTGAGTCTCAACTGTCATCTCAGAGCCCAAGTAGGTGGCCATGACTGTTATGTAACGATAGTCCAGCAAGTTGTTTTCCTCTGCAAAAAAAACAAAACAAAACAAAAAAACACTGTGTGGGAGAGGAACTTTGGAGCTGAGAAAAACTAAAGAGGAAAGAGTGGCTTGTGGTAGAGCGGTCCCCACTTCCACCATTTTGTGGCTGTGTTCTCAGGCCTTGAAAGGATGGGGATAGCAGCAATTTAGCTAAACTACGCAGCGCTCTTTAGATGGTTGTTGCCATTTTGTTTCCCCCAGAAGGATGGAAGCTTGTGGTAGGGCCCCCTCCACCTCCCCAGATCTTGGGGTGAGGAGGCACTCCCCCATCCCGATTTGTGAGCCGTCCCTGCCCCAGAATGACACTTCTGGCTCTTTCAGACAAGCATTTGGTCTCCAAAATGCTCCTGATCAGTCACTGAATGATATCTGCCATTACCATGGCATAAAGCTTGTCTCAGTTTCTGGCAAAATCTGTGATTCTGCAAGTGTTTTTGACCCTCCTGAAGGCATGATACTCCCCTTTGTTCCAGGCATTTGTGGAGAAATTTACTGCTACAGTAGGGGTCCTTTCTTCCTTTTTTTCCCCACCCTTTGCTCATCTACCCATGCTCCCCATTCTTTCCTTTGTCCTTTTTTCACGCTTTATTTTATTGATTGATTGATTGTATTTATTTATTGTATTTATATGCTGCCCATATGGTCATTTGACCACTCTGGGCGGCTAACAACACTTAAAAATAAAACAATTTAAATCTAACAACAATATACAACATCAAGATGGAAAGAAAAAAAGAAAGAAAAAGAGAAAAATAAGTCAAATAATGGTTGGAGGGAAGGCTTTGCTCCTCTACCCATGCTCCCCATTCTTCATCTGTTTTTTCACCCTTTGCTCCTCTGCCCATGCTCCCCATTCTTTCCTTCCTCTTTTTTTATCCTTTGCTCCCCTACCCATGCTCCCCATTTTTTCCTTCCTCTTTTTTTATCCTTTGCTCCCCTACCCATGCTCCCCATTTTTTCCTTCCTCTTTTTTTATCCTTTGCTCCCCTACCCATGCTCCCCATTTTTTCCTTCCTCTTTTTTTATCCTTTGCTCCCCTACCCATGCTCCCCATTTTTTCCTTCCTCTTTTTTTATCCTTTGCTCCCCTACCCATGCTCCCCATTTTTTCCTTCCTCTTTTTTTATCCTTTGCTCCCCTACCCATGCTCCCCATTTTTTCCTTCCTCTTTTTTTATCCTTTGCTCCCCTACCCATGCTCCCCATTTTTTCCTTCCTCTTTTTTTATCCTTTGCTCCCCTACCCATGCTCCCCATTTTTTCCTTCCTCTTTTTTTATCCTTTGCTCCACTGGTGCAGAAGTTCTCACTGGCTGGCTTGATAGTACCTGAGGAAGCTGCTGCCTCTATTGTCACTCCTGCCTGCATATGCCTGGGCCTAAATCTGAGACTTTGTGGTTGCTTCCTATCTGAGGCCGAGCAGGAGTACGACAGCAGCCACTTGCTAGGAAATAGGCGTGTGGCATGGTTGTGAATCCTCTTGTTTATCCACAGTGAATAGGTTGATCAAGAGAGGAACTTTTTCCTGGAAGAGACCTATGTCATGGAAAAACGTTATTGTATGGGCCAGTCTTTGGGAAATGAAGTGGTATTTTTATGGCATACCAGTGACTCTTGCTCCTGCTTCTAAAAATGAGAAGGGGAAATGATTCTGCCTTTCTGTTCCTCCTTAGTGGGGAGGTCCCACCTTTTCACCCTGCTTTTATTGGCTGGTGTAACCATAACCTAGTTTGTTTACCATGGCTGTATCATTTGTTTGTGTCTTTAAATTGCCTGCACACTTTGCCATCAGAAGTACAAGAGGGGACGTTCAAAAAGATTCCATACTCCAAACACGAATGTCCTTGTAATTCTGGTGGTATAGAAACAATAACTCATATTCTTTTGCATTGCCCGGTCTATCTTGGATTTCGGAAAATTTTTATCAAACCTTAATATGAAGTTACCCCTTGGACCCTGAGAGATGTGTTGTACCCATTTATTGTTGTCACGGCAAAACACAGGCATGCTGTCGGGACCAAATATAAGTATGTTGTATAATGTAGCAAAACTTTGTGCAGCTGCAATTAAAATGCATGAAGTAATTTTTATTCAGCTTTCAGTTATAGCAATAGCAAGATTTTAGGTATGTGTATATGTGT